AATGTACCATTTGGAGATGGACATGCGGGGAATGCAACAAAGGCTGCAGCATTTGTATCAGCAGCAGCGAACTCCGATGATAGAGCAAGAAATTCAGCAGGTTTATTTTCATTCCGTAAATTTGTTAGATTGTCTGGCATTTAGTTGTGTACAAGTGTAGGCAAATTGTTCCATAAACGTACGGAAATTGCGAAGTGTGCGAATATTTGTGATTTTTCTGTGGGATTATTTCAAAATGTCGTAGTAGATTACTCGTGTTTTTATTTCAGCAGACTAAACCGTAAGCGACAAAACATAACTTAATTTTCTCTTTGGGTCTTATTTTTTAGTTTCATATCAATTTCGTAAATATCGCCATGGTCAAGATGAGGCGAGCTTTCAAGGTTTACTGTACATAGAAATTGGTTTCCTCGGTGATTAAACTCTCACCAAGAATACTCAAAGAACTTGTCATCTTTATACTTTCAATAGATAATGCTGACCAATAAAAAATGGCAATTTCACCCGATCAAGAATGACAAACTTTATAGGACGAGAAGAGTATTCTTTTGACGTCTATATTTGCGTTTATGTAATAGAGTTTAATTTTGTATTGAGATTGCAATACAGTCACCTCACCGGTTGCATTTCAGATACAAATGCGGTTACAGTATTTGCAAGCTGAGCATCACAGGTTGCAGCAAATGGCAGCGCAAAGCGCACAACCGATAGCCGGTACTCAACAGCAACAACAGCAGCCTCCACAACAGCAACAACAATCACAAGCTGGTCAACCCCCACCTGGCATGGCGGCTATGCCCAACCCAAATGCAGCAATGCCAATGAATCAGCAGGTATGCCTTGGAAGCGTTACACATTTGTTCATTTCCATGGACAGTAGATAGGAAAGCTTTACGCCTTCGTCTTAGATGCCAACACCTGGAATAGGCCCGCCAAGTGGACCGAGTACAGGACCGCCTAGTCAGCAGGTGGTTATTCAGCAGAGTCCCTCAGCAACTCCTGCTACTCCGGTACAGGTCACACAAAGTGGAAGCCAAGTTCAAGTGCGTTAGTTGTAGTTGCCGTTTTTTATTCATCTAAGTCATGTGAACATTCAGGTGAATATCAAGCCGGAAACATCTGGACGTACGCTGATAAGCGTGTACCATCGGTTTGGTGAGTCTCCAAATGGTGATGAAGCGTTCAACTGCGACACGAAAGATTCTGTTCCTCCTGAACCAACCCCAACACAGCAGCAACAACAGCAGTATCAAGTACGGTAATTCTGTTCACGAGTTTGGTTTTAAATAAGCTTATTCCAATATGTAGGACTCTCAGCAGCTGATGTCGCCGCCACCTCATCATCATCAGCAACAAATCCCTCAACAGCAGATTCCTCCGCAACATATTCAACAGCAACAAATGTCAATGCATCAACAACCAATTGCGGCGCCACCCCAGCAACAAATTCAGCCGCAGGTGCCGCCACAGCCCCTCCACCAAATGCCACAAGTCTCGGTTAATGGCGTGGACAATGTTTACCAGAACAATGGTGTAAGTTTATATGTGTAGCACTTTATATCACTTGTTTTTCGTTGCCACATTTCTATTTCCAACAAAGCAAAAACTTGAGAAGCTGCTTCTCTCAGGTCCAACACGGACATAATACAATGGAAACAGCATCGCCAATGCAACTACCACCATCACAACCGCCGGTCACGGTAGAACTAAAGCCAACAGTTTTTAACCCCTACGCGGAACCTATGCCAGAGCCGGAGACAAGAAAATCTGTAGAAGAGCAGGAGAAGGTAAGAAATTAGCTCAATAAAATCATATTTTTGGTTATCAGTAAATATTTCAAGGGCTTCCAGAAAACGAAATTGTTAGCTTATTGATTTGGTCTCTGACAGCGCCCAAACCATTAAGATACTATAGTTATCGACATCGTAGTATAAAGGGTAAAGCTAGACGTCTCCGCAGTCATAATAGAATCCAGCAAGTTCTGGAGGCCTTCGTGTCCCTCGGTTTTGTTTGGAGTAGGTGAACTCTGTTGCTGCACATCAAGCGGTCAGCAGCGCAATATTGGTAGGAATAAGAGATCCTCGGGAAGGAATGGCATTGAAAGTGCATAAGGCGTGTTCCCTCGTTTACGTTGTGTTTAGTTCAGTCGAGGAAAATACCGCCTATACAGGGTGGCGAAAAGTTACGTGGGCTAGAAAAAACGTTCCAACTTTATTTTTTGTTCACAAAAATTTGAAAGGAACTACGTTTATAAAGATCCAACTGTGACATTTAATAATTGCGAAAAAAGTTTCGAAGTGTTCGCCATCACTGATGAAACCATCATTTTGTTTTTTCATGGATTCTATGGTGCGCCGTAGGTGTTCAACGTCTAATTGATTTTAAATATTGAGATTTTCTTTTCAAAATCACCAAAGTTTTTGGGTTTCGATATCTCACTAGCCTTTTAATAATCACAAACAAAAGTAAAACCCGGGTAAGTTAAACCCGAGTTGAAGAAAAACCCCAAATAACCCCGATCACAAACAAAGAAGTGTGATGGATTTGATTTTGGAATATTAGTAGGTCACAAATCCACCGTCAACGAAGACCCGATTTTGGTCTCCCAATTCGATCTTTATTCATGGGCTGTAGCCCATTCTTGTTGAAATACAATATTGTAACCCTGCTTCCAGAGCACCAGAGCTTTCTTTAAGACATCTTCGTGGTAGATCTTTATATTGATTTTCTTGATTTTAT